CATGGATTTTCAACAAGTTGTACCAACTCATCTCATTCCTGATCACATTCTATATAGCCAAGAGGTTCTGAATTCATCCATTTGTAACATTCGCAAAAATAGTACCCACTCATTTCATTCAAGATTCATTTTAAAATCCAAGAGATTCTTTTTTCATTCATTTGTTCCATTCGCAAAAATAGTATCAAATAGAAACACGCTTGACACATTCTATATTTGTTTGTCTCCAAAGAACTTTAAAGAAGGTAAAGAGAGCATTTTAGAGAAGAACCTTGAGCCTTTTTACATCTACAACATTCTCTTTTTCACTTGCAGGTATCTAGATATCGGTAGTCAACTTTTGCCCACATTTGCCTTTGACATTTTAGTAAAGAGATTCGAGAAGCACATAAACATGACAATGGCCCCTTGGTACTGAAAAAAAAAGCAAGACATAGAGCCAGAAACTTAGAGACGGACAATGAGGAAGTAGGGCCTACCAATGGCATCTCTGACCACCCCCAGGAACTGTGAAGACAAAGGACTGAGCAACTGAAGGAAACTTATGATATGAAAAGCTGAAATCTTCAGATGTAACAGATGAACGAACATAGACATTTTCAACAGCAGAGAAAAACGGGTCAAATGACCTATCCTTCTACAACGAGCAGAAAACTCGTTGAAACCAAGCAAGTCTGGTCTGCACAAAGCCATCAGGATGATATCTGTCATGCTACTCTACATCAAAATCTTCTGACAAAACGCCATTAGGCTTCCTTTTCATTTAGGCTTACCTGCTATTCATATTCAAATACATATATGAGAGGCATCGTGGTGAAATCAGGCGCTCGTCAAAATAATGAAATCAAAGAAATAAGCTTTTTTTGGGCTGATGGCTAATTTTTTTTCTAGTTGTCTTTTTTCAGCTCAACACCTTTTATGTCCAATTAAAAACACACTTTTGTGTGGATTGTACTGAAAAACATTGATTAAAGATGCAAAAAAATGTAAATTTTCAGTTTCCACAGACTCTCAGGCTATGGAAGTAAAAACCAAACTTTGGCGGCCATTTTCTTGCTAATTTGACCTCTGAAACCAGATGACCCTGACTTCCTTCAATCACAAATATTTCGACTTCTATATAGATGGATATTTTTTTCACCAAAAGGAAGGCAAATAAACAGGCTTTAAGATGATACCAATAACCCTATACGCCCAAAAATTGACGAGTGCCCGATTCCACCACGTCATGACATATGTATATATATATACAGTTTAGCACGAACATAGCAATATCGGTGGGATGTGGAAATCTTCTTATGTACAAATTTTGCTATCTACTTAACATAAAGGAAAACAGTGTCTAAAAAAAATTCAGGACCTGCCAATCGTTTTGCAATGTGTGTTTTCGCTATGTGTGTGCTAGACTGTACATAGTGGAAGAGACCGTTTGACAACATGCAAGTGTCCTACCACTTTTGTCGGAATAAATACCAGGCTCCATTTTCGGGGAGTACAAACACCTGAAACATTCTGAATTATGACGAGAGAGTTGAGAACATTACATGATTTACAAGCTTGTCTCTTCAGTTAATAAAGAAAGAGCATGGACTGACTAGTCATCCATAGATACTGCTGAACAGTGAAAACTTTCCTACATCTGATATACAAATTTTTCTTCTAAAACGACAAACAGTGGAATCTGCTTAAACTGAAATCTGTAGAAACCACCAAATTTTTTTCAGTTCAGCCCTGTTTTCAAATAAGAGAGACTTCTCAAATGGCAAAGATAAAAACTATGAATTCTATTTTGTGTCAGTTAACAGCCGTTTCAGATAAAGCATGTTTCGTTTTAAGTGGACTCCACAGTATAGGCAAACTGAGCTTGTGTACAGACCCAACTCTCCCAGTATACTTTGCACCCACTGAACAAATAAATACAAGGTTGTACAAACTAGAACACATACCAACAAACAGCTGATGCTAGTGGACATGAGAATGAATGAACAGTTTCAATTATTGCCTGTGGTATATCTTGAACTTGTGAACAATGCATGCCTCGACATTTCTAAAACTGCAAATAGTTTAACGTGAATTTTTCTACACATACAAATAAATATGGGAACACTCATTCAGTCTCACTGCAGACAAAAACTATGAAAAAATTTAAAATCAGACTATAGGCAGGTAAATGATAGAAAATAAAATATTTTAAAAATAAATAATCCATTTTAAAATATTGTTACAAGCACTCAGAAGGTAAAAAAAAGTCATCTCTTTTATATTTTTTTGGCGGGAGATGTCTTTTCAAATTCAGACAATAACAGACTTCCAAAAGGACAATTGGGAACTCTGTTTAACCTGCAAAATTAAAGAAAATCTCAAACAGCTACAAACTTCCGACAAATGCAAAGAAAATGTCCAACATACAGATTAGCAATGACCGTAAATATACAAAATTACGCATCAAAATATCTAAATGTAAGTTGACACATTTTTTCCTCTGAGTCTCCCGTAAGCATGGTACTGTCAGTGACATAGACTGCTTACTTACATCAGAGATAAACAAAGCAGCATGCATCATTTGGAATGTTAGGAAAGAATCAAAAACATGTGACAGTATTGCAAATGGAACAAACTAGAGTTGAAATGTCAGAGAGAGAAAGAGAGGGAGAGAGGGAAAAAAGTCACAATGTGGTTCATGAATCATCAAGAATTATACCTCCATATAAGTAAAATGAAAGGCAAAACATGTGATAACTGACGAATCTGTGGTTATGCTAGATCTCGTATAATCTCAGAGGCTTACTCAATTTTATAAAATTACCCCCCCCCCCCCCCCCCCAATTACATACGAGCTAAGACTAAAAAAAGGAACAAAATTTATGGGTGAAGGACACAAATGGGCTTGCTGAAAACTTTGTGCTCACTTCTTGACGACAGACCAAGGTGAAAAGGCTTTAATTACCCTTAAACATATATTCAAACCAGAAAGGCAAATCAGTGTTGTAAGTACTCCAACCCCCCCAAAAGAAATACAGTAATGCTATTATATTGGCTGCTTACATTTCTTTACAACAAAAAAAAGCTGACTTTGCAAACCTACAAAGTCAAAACGGCAAGTTTTTTATGATTTATCATTACCATAAAAATTCCTGAAAATTACTGCTCTAATAGTAATACCTTACGTTTAATAATAATTATAATAGATAGCATTTGTATAGTGCAAATTCCCCCTCAACAGCAAGCTCTATGCGCTTTACAAGCTATAATACTACCCCGGCAGACCTGATACTAATAGCATTCTGAAACAATTGTAGGTTCTTGGGAAGCATACAGTAACTTAATAACAATGAATAAACTGTGGTTGAAAAGAAGTCAAATTCTGACAGGAAAAATAAAGTCTGCTCTAAGTAATCAAATCCCACATCAGCAAGAAGACAGCTTTTCCTCATTAACCCTTTCTTGTTCTATGCAGCCAACCAAAACAGGTCAATTCAAAAATACTATGCTAGAGTTGAACCAGGCCTTAAAAGGCTGGACATGCTTCATGTCTCTCCCATGGGATTTCCTCAGCTTGGCTATGATAAGAGTAGAACAAGGACATTCATTAAGTGAAAATCTCATTTTTCTTCTCAGTGCGGAAAGTGTGTCAGAGCTAGCTTCTTCAGTCAACTTTTACTTTCACTTCTATTTAGCACAAATGAATGCCAAAGCCAGAAGGTTGCAAAGTGCAGAGAAAATAGGACTAATAGGCAGACATCTTTGGCAAAGACTATAAACAGGAAGTGGTTAAATGCTATCTCTATTTCCCGATACACGATACATAAAAGATCTTCCAGCACAAAAACGTTTTATTGCAGTCTATTTCCCTACAAAATAATGGTAAAAAAGTACACTATGTAAAAAAATTTCTTACACCTCTCAGGTCTAGATTCAACATAGTTAGTTTTAACTGAGGTTTTACGGTGCTCACAACAGCATAAGGTCATATGAGCGCCAAGGGGTGGATGTCAACAGAGAAGCCCTTACAGGGAACCAGGCTTACTCTGCTCACCTCTCTAGCTTCAACAGCACAAAGTCTGCTTCGCCTATCAAGGCACCCCGGAAATAGTGGGTCACCAGAATGTGACAAACATACAAAAGAAGAAGAGGAAAAATGATGATAGTAAGGATTAGTAAAGAAAAAGCAGCAGTTCCCAGTTGCAGTTCAGACACAGTTATGAGCATGACATTGTTGAATCAGCCCATTTACAATTCTACTGTGCATAAGAACAAGTTAATGTCCCCCCTTTGGGAATGGCCTAAAGACACTTCAGTCAGTGGCAATGCCCCAGGAGGAAGATTCAACATAAACATAGCATTGATGGCATCAGAATCTGACCTTCACATACGCCACTAAGAAGCATCACTGTCACATAATCAAATTATAGAAGACGGCTCGAATGGTAGAAAAATAATACTTTTTAAAAAACCAATACAAATACAAAACAAACAAAAACAATTCAGTAGTCATCAAAGACACTTGAAACATGTGCTGGAGAAAACAAAACAACAACAGCTAAGAATGCTCAATCATTGACTACAACTAAATACAAACACATCATGGAATGATCTTTAACTTAGTCAAGAGGAAAACATATGCCAAGAGCATAAAAGATCAAGGTCACAGTCTGTCAAGTTGCTAAGGTATAGAAGTCAACTTCTTGGGACTAAATTAGTAGAAGTGTACTTCTGACGAGTGCAAAAGCTTTGAGAGGGTCAAACCTTCCCATCCTACAACCCTGACCCTAAAGTCTGCTTCTCCCTGAGTTCTAGCCTGAGGCAATGTCAGCTTCTGTTGAGAAATTGAAAATATCAAGACTGACTTAGAGGTTCTCCAGAAACTAGGAATAGCGACTTTGAGTTCTAAATTCAAACCATAAATATCTTTCAAAATGACTCATTAAAAGTTCCCTTAATCTGTGGCTGGTTGGCTTGTGCTCAGGACTAGTTTACTCCTTCTTGTTACTTCTTTCCTATCAAACATCTGTCATTCTCATCTCTCCTCCTTTTCTTTGTATGCTACTCTCTAGTAACCCTCCTCAAAATTTTCAGAGATTACATAACCTATTTGTGTTGCAACAGCCATAAAAATCTTACTAAAACAAAAAAAAACTGTCATCTTCCACCAACACTCTTCTTCCCCCTCATTAGTAAACAATCCCATACATATATTTGGAAATATTACTCTGCGAGAAGCTACCGTATGGATCAATACAAAATAAATGCACCACCCTCAAATTATTTTACAATTCAATACCAGCAGTGTCATTGTGGTATATAAAAAAAAAGACTTTTAAACCTTAAAGGTTCTAGACCACTTCTCTTAACAAGCTACAATATTTAACAAATTCATCTCAAGAGGAAAAGATACTGCTTGATACACTTAACCTCAACTATATTTCATTTTCTGGAGTCAACAACCACACACTTCATCAAAAGGCACAAAGTTGAGCATGCACACTACTGATTTTTAAAGGATGTTTTAAAAATTTTAATTAAAATCACTTTAAAAGAAAGAGAAAATGTTTGTAACGCAGATTTCAATAGTGCTATCTGAGTGAGTAAAAAGAAAAAGAAGCCCTTCCATGCTGAGTGGTTGACTTGATGTAAAAACTGTACAGGGGTCGTCGGTCCATCTTCACCATCAGCCGAGGTCACACAGGTCTGACAGTGAATAAGATTGGGACATGGAATGGGTCTATAGTTCACTGGACGCAGGTGGGCAGTATCACACATAAAAGATTCGAACTCGGGACACACTAACTACCATGTCACCATCGTAGAATCTTGTCTCTATCACAACATTGCCACTGGGGAATACAAGGAGGAAAACAGGTTAGATACAATAAAGGTCACTTGTTTTTTCTTTGCGGAAGACAGAAGTAGACATGAAATGGCCATCAAAGAACTAACATTTTTAAAAATTCTTGGCAATAAATACGAAACAGCTCGCTCAGTAATGAAAACTTACAGTGATGAAATTGAAACGGACATTAAACCCATAAAATTACGTTTTCCCAAAAGTGATATTAAAAACAGCAAATTCAAAACTTTTGCTCGATCAATGGAGTCAGGGAAACATTAAATGGAGTCAGGGAAACATGAACCACCAACGGCATCTCCCTGACCCAAGCTCTCCGGCTGGCGACAGAGAGACATCTCTTGCTTCCTGCGACACCCAAAAGGGTATAAGCAGCGGCTAAAAGTAAAGTAATGCTGTTGGAAATAAAACTATTTGCCTGAAGAAAGGTACCAAAAGTCAGATTTTGACTTAAGGGTTGTACCTAATAGGAAATCCAATGCTGAACCCAGTAGTTTTTAATTTTTGAGATATCTCAGGTAGTTTTTGAGATATTTAACATTTTGTGAGCTTGTAGCTCAAAATGGTCTGTGGCGACTTTTGGTACCATTCTTCAGGCACACATTTGTCTACTATCTACTCAAACCCTAGGCAAAATACTCCATTGAAAAAAAAAGAAAGAAAAAAATAGAACAGTCGCTGTAATTTTCAAGCAAAACCATTATCGCTCACCTCACTAAAGAAAGCCTGTTAAGATTAATGCCAAAACTCTCCCCCACGCCTGTGGGTTTTCATAAAAAATGTTTTAAAAAATCATCCTTTGTTGTTCGCATGAAAGCGTTTCACAGTAGCAATGAGTGCATTTATATAAATACATCACTTACTTAAGAACATTTGCACCTCTACGTCACTTACTTGAGTAACTTACTTGAGTACTTGTACATATTTATGTCACTTACTTGAGTACATTTGTAAACATCTATGTCACTTACTTGAGTACATTTGCTGGCATCATCTGACTTTCTGGGGCTGCCTCAATCAAAGACTGCCATGTGTTGGTGGAGCCAGGGATCACAAAGCCAAATTCAAAGTACCACTCTGTTGGGAATGGGTGAGGAGGAGGAAAAGAGGAGACAATGGTTAATTAATAGTTTTCAATTTTACAGAATAAGAGGAGGGTGAAAAGGAGGGAGATGAGGATGAGGAGGAAGATTAAAGAACGAATGAGAGGGAAAGAAAGATTTTATGATGGTCTATTGCCCGACCTAATCAATGAGAGAAATCACAGATTAGAGGTAAAGATACCACAACAATACAATGAAGCTCAGCCTCACCTTCAAAGGTACGGGATTTAGATTTTCTCATGTGTAACTGACAACGCTTTTCCTCCAAGAAGCAGTGTTAATCTTGCTAATAATAGCTATGATTCGATAAAAACGAGAGAAGCTTTTCACCCCCAATTGGAAGAAAGGTAACAATTTGATGGGTATTTTTCAATGCCGTAACTCTTTATCTCTAACAAGCCGCTCCCAGCAGCTTGCGGTCCAAACTGCTATGCTGGTGAGCCACTGCCAGCGGCTCGGGCACATTCATTTACAACGACTTCGACATCAAATTACTTTTCGGCACTTGCCGAAAACAGGTCTCTTTTTCCGGAAGTTCATTCATTAGACAAAGAACGATCAAAACAGGTTTGCTTTTTTCGATTTAATGACTCATTTAATGATGTTTCTGTCATTTTAAAATTTAGTACCAAAATAAGGGCTGCAGCGTAGTGGCCTTACCCCCCTCCCCTCTGAGAAAAAAAATTAAAGGCATGTCTTTTTCCTTTATTTCATGCACTGGCACATCTATTAAAATCTCCAATCTATCTGCACTTATTATTCTAATCAAAATAACAAAATACTGACACTGATAGGAGTTAGAAATGATCTTTCCACTTACAGCCTCGGACTTTTATGACAGCTTAGAGCTTTTATTCTGAAAATTATTTTGCAATTTTAAGTTAAGAATGTAAACAAATTCAACTGCCTGCACATGAGAGTGCCTGGGTGAGAGTACATCTAAGAATGCAAATGCTGTTTTTCCATTAGCACAAATGTAATGAATAAAGTAAAACGGAACGAGGCACTTTTTAAACCACAACAAATAGTCACAATTCATACAATTATGTTTCAGTTATACATATAAAAAATTAAAAGAAGAAATAGTCTCATCGTTCTTTTTCCTTAAGCTACCCAGATTTTATGGGTACAGTGGTAGTGAATAATATCAACAGGTGCAGTTTGACGACGTATGCAATAAACTTTATAAACTGATAGCCTATTCTATGACCATTTTCAGTTTCTAGTCTGAAAGTGCTATATTATGTTTAATATAATTCTATTTTATGGTCTACAAACCATCAATAATATCTATACCATGCAAGTTAGATATATTGTGCATTGTTTCATCAAATAAAGTCACATAAAGTTCTGAACATGATATGTAAAGCATCACTGTGAAATCAAGCGCTCGTCACAATAACAAAATTGGAGAAAGAGGCATTTTCCCACCAGCTTCGCAAATTTAATCAAATTTTTTGTTTTTTTGTTCCACCCTTTTATGTCAAAATAAAAAACACATTTCCATGTGAATTATATAATAGTGAAAATCGTTGATTAAAAGCTCAAAATGTATAATTTTTTAGTTTTCAAGGACTCTTTAGCTATTGCAGTTACCAAACTTTGGCGGCCATTTTCTCACTATTTCAACGGCTGAAACCAAGTGAACTTACCTCTTTCGATCACAAATATCTTCATTTCCGCTCAAGTTAGATGGGTACTTTTTTCATCAAAAACCTAGTAAATGAACAAGCGTTAAGATGATACCAATAACTCGAAATGCACAAAAATTGACGAGTGCCTGATTTCAGCGGGTCGTGACACACATCATATTGAGCCCTGAAACTAAGAGCTGCTCTAAGAATGTTGTAAAGGTACATCAAGAAGCACAAGAAAGGATTTCTAATGATCAAATGGAAAAAAAAAAACTAACTGTCCCCAACCCCCAAATTCTTCCATGTATAAAAAAATAATAATCACGCCTTCAAGACTACAGCTTCACTCTCACTACTCTCAGCGACTTAATTAAGACTAATTTTGATCTTTTTTTTCTCAGCTTTGTACTATCTTTGGAAGGGACTTCATTTCTTAACAAAAAATATTTCTTGGATCCTTATTATTATTAAACATGGGTCTAAACTCAGAATTTTATAAAAGGAGGAACTTTTCGCGTGGTCGCGACAGAAGACCATTCTCATGAGACACCCATTAATATTATACTGTTTAACCCTAAAATCAATTCATCAAAGCAAGGTTATTTCATACGAATTTGAGGGTTTGGAAAATAATTTCAATCAAGACTCACTTACCAAATATTTACAATCTTGATTATGTAGAGAAAGAGGTGGTTTAGCGGAGGAACTGGCGGTAGTGGAAATACGCTAAAGAGCGGAATATTGAGACCCATGTTAAAACCCACCATGGTGTGGTATTGCTGATAGTAAACCACAAGTTTGCTCTCTCCAACTAACTTACAGCTATGTGAGGGTTACCTTGCATGTACAGCCAAGGCCTCACCAAACCATGCTGATAACATTTAATACACACCACATTGTGTGGTAGCTTAACACATTTTAAGCACATGAGAAAATGATTATTAAATGTTCTCAGCCTTACATAACTAGATCTAATATCAGCTCATTAAAAAATATTTCTTCACAGACTGATTTACTGCAACCAACAGAAAAAGCCCTTGCCTGTCTTTTTGTTCCAGTTTTGAGGTGAGAGTATAATTTTCAAAAGAGAGAAAGAGTACGCTCTCTCTACTGAAGATCCTATTGTTTCCTGGGCATTCCTGGCCTTAGAACAATAAAACAGTGTGCTGCCTGTAGGCCACAATAAGTGTTAAGTCAACGGTCAGAAAAAGACAGTCTAAGTCTTAATTATTTTAATTTCACAGTATTAATTGTTTGTTTGAATTAAGACAAGCACATTGACATAATGGTTATTTAGAGGTGGGAAAGAGCAAGATAAGCAGAGAGATAAACAGACAAAAACTAGAGAAGCAAGACATATCAGTGGCGCCCTAACGCCACTCATGTATTATATAGACAACTCTTCTACTTTGTTGGAGGAACAATACAAAGGAAAAAATGACTTTCCTTATCATTCATAAAAAGAGCTAAAATATGTTTTTTAAAAATCACCTTCTAAACATTTTCCTTTGAACAACACCCTTTGTTCGAGCCTAAATTTGTCCATGGGTTCTTTTGATGAAAAATTGATTTCTCTAGAGACCGCTCTGCATTTGAGGATTTTCTTCGGAACTCGAGCTGTGAAAGCAGAAAAGCAGTGTTAAATAGGACATGATGTAGAGCAGAAGATTAGATCAAATTTTAAAAATAAATTAATCATGGGAAGTCCAGCCAAGAATACATAAGTCATAAGTAAAAAAAAAATCACAAACTTAAACTGTTCATCCTAGATAAACTTAAAGTCTCTAAAATTCATGAATTTTTCATATATTATATATACATTGGTCTCTGTCTAATGAAAGCATGCTGGATAAACGTACAGTTCATCTTAAAGCAAGCAACTGAATTTTTCCTACATGTGTGGCATCGTGGTGTAATCAGATACCCCTCGAAATAATTAAATCAGTCAATCCCGACATTTTACTGCCGTTGGAAAATTTTCATTAAAATTGGAGGGGGGGGGGGGGGGGGGGGGAAGGTTCAACATCTTTTATGACCATATAAAACATTCACATGTGGATTTATTTTAAAATAATGATCGAAGGCAAAAAAAAATAAATTTATTTGCAGTTTCGAAGGACACTACAGTTTTGGAAGTTACCAACTTTGACAGACATTTTCTCGTCAATTTTACCTCAGACACTTGGCAGCCCCACCTTCTTCAATTGCAGATATTTCCACTTAGACTGTTCAAGACAAACAACCTTCCATAGGACTATAACTTGAGACTCACCTTCATGTTCTTTCTCTGGAATTGACCTGAAACAAATTAAAGCACCCTTGTTATAATATGCTACACTTTTTGGGTTGGCATACATAACCACCAGAAGCATGGGTGTTCAATTGTTCTAAAAATGCCAGTCTCCCTCTTCATAATAAAGTTATAATAAAGTTATCTCAGTATTGTAACTCGATCCTTTAAAAACTACCAGCAGTTGTTTCAGAATAAAACATCTTGACAATAAAAGGGGTCGATCATTCGAATATTCATCATAAAAAACAGCCCAAAGCACAGTTTGAAAAGTTTTAACTATTATTGTAAGAAACAAGAATAAAAAAACCACAACTAGATTAAGATTTTTCTTATAGGGGAAGGTGCATTCCATTACTGACAAAGTTTTTTCTCAAATAAGCACAAAGATAAAAAATAAAAAATGATTCAACAAGAGAAGATTGTCACACTTACAAGTCGTCACTGGACTGCCATAAGACCTTGCCATTGTCAGCATCCCTGAGGTTCATCCAGTTACTAAAAAGTAGTTAAGGAACAATTGTAACAACGGTGGGGCAGCTGAGAAGCAATTAAAATCAACTGCAATGGATCACGCGCTTGAGAGCCTTAGAGTCTCTGAATGAACTTTGTCGGGTGTGTGGGTGTTTAAATTTAACTGCCAAACAAACAAAAAGTAAAGAAAGCTCTGATTATGTAAGATAATGGCAGGAGATATTCTCTTAATTAACGGGACTGATGTGGGGACGAAGATGAACAGGCGTATTCCGCTAACATTTGCGTCAAGTGTTTTACAGCAATTTCAAAACTACCATGGAAGCATTTATAAACATGCCCTGTTCGTTACAGATTCGATGAGCAACCTAAAAAAAATCAAGAGTGGGTGGCTCTACAGTGACTGGAGAGCTTCCATTGCAAATTAAATAGCCACCTCGTAAGGATTACATGGGTGTTCTGCCCTGGTCACGCTGGGGTGCACAGAAATGAGCATGCTGATGAACTTGCCGGCAAAGCAACACCCAATGGCCGAATCATACTCGACCCACCAATGGTGATCGCCAGATGCAAGGAGAGCCTTCACGACAAAGAGGAGACAGACTCCCACACACTCAGCACAATAAAAGAAAAGTGTGTGCAGGGCACAGGGGAAAAAAGTTTGCTCTGAGGAGCAGTCAGGCGTGTCATAAACCAGCTCCTCATGGAGACAATATAAGTAAGAAGACCCTGGGGTAGACGCTGGAAAGGAAAGATGAGCAGCTATGGACATGTGCCGCCTGCTATGATTCTAGCTCTGGATCCAAGTAATTACAAGTCATTCAACTATCAAGAGTAGACAAGGTGTTATGTCACGTCAATTCAAGCTGCAAAAAAGCTGTATATTCATCCCACTTAATAAAAACAAATTTAATATCAAAAAGTGATAATTAAGATAGAATGGTCATTTACATCATGAGCTCATTTGTTTTTGCAGTAAGACTTTGGACTTGGTGGCATCAACTACTACATTTGAGCTTCGCTTTAAAGAAGTTGCATCTCTGTTTGTTTGACTTTTCTTTGACCCTGAACCGTTACATTTAATGTAACCCAGACCGCCACACTGAGAGCCAAATACAACCGAGAACTCTTAAACTGACATACATGTGTGGTGCAGTTAACATCACTCATCAGAAGTAATTTTTCAGGACAAAGTTCAAATTCGTTCCTGCTGTCTGTATGCCCCTTTTAACATTCCATGTTTGGTAGCTAGCGTGTAGTTATTGTTGTCACTTCTGTCCAAAACAACAGCCAGAATATTTCGTGGGTCGCCACGGCCCCGATCAACAAGAGAAATTGGAATGGCAACATTGTCACCTTTCTGGCCTGGAGCGAGTTCTTTCTACTTCTTTTTACCATCCGTTCTGCTAGTTCCATTTAGAATTTCCTACTCTGTTCTCTATCATGAAGGTTTATTTGAGCCTGTCTAGCATCAAGAAATGCCACGTTTTCAACAGCGCCAATGCGATCAACTTGGTCGACATGAGGATAATTCAGGTTTGTGGCTGGCCAGTAAGCAGCAGCAGTATGTTACTGTGATAATTCAAAGTAAAGAAAAGAGCATTGAGTAATAGTCAAAAATATGGTTTGCCTTGTAGAGTTGTAGGATAACAACCAGGGAAAGCTGGAAATCTGAGGCTTTCATTTTCAGTCATTCTCCAAGAACGTCTAAAATTTTTAGTCTGACAATAATTGTGATCTAGATCTAGATTCTAGGATAGGCTCTAAGCCTAATTACCTGCAATTACCAGGAGCTGGGAGTCGACTTTTATGCCCACACTCACACTAATAATAAATAATAATAATAGAGATCATAGCATTTTTATAGCGCATCCCCGCTCAGCAGCAGGCTCTATGCGCTTTGCACTATATTATTACCCCAGCAGACCATAGAACACTCCGAAACATCCTCAGCTTCCCGGGAAGCATACAGTGCAAGCAGCCGATTAAGCGCTCAAACACTAACAAACTAACAAGATCTTTCGCTGTCT